ATATATAATATCAGCTGGAAACACATGTACATACAGCTATTTATTTGTCACTAGCAAGGAGTTACCGGTTCAACATGTCCTCTGGTTGTCCTCATGGTTGGTCTCGTTTCAATCTTCGCTGTTTTGTCTATGTTCCAAGATCCATGAGTTGGGGTCAAGCTGAGGTAAGTTTCTATGATTTGTATTGTCTTCAAAACTTGATTAAAACACATCTAGCCTAGTTGTGACTTTGAAAAACCTCTCTGTGTAACTCTTTACTGAAGAGAAACTGCAAGTCAATGGGTGGACACCTTGCATCTGTGCACAGCAGCGACGAGTACCGTCACATTCAGAAGCTGACTGGTGATCATGACTACAAGGAAACTTGGATTGGAGGAAGTTATGCATCCGGGGTACCTTTTTTTTTTATCAATACCTTGCTGTTTCTCTTAATGACAGATATGTCATTAATGAAAATACAGAAGCCACTGACAGATAAAAGCAGCTTAAATAATATTATGAATAATATGGGAGATTTGCCAGCTGGTTACATTCGTTATGTCAATTAAATAAAGCTGATTTGACAAGACTTTGGCTAGGCATGATCTTTAGGCCCGCCTGAACTGATGCTATCAATCTCTGTCTTCTAGGAAAAAGTTTGGCTGTGGAGTGATGGGAGCTCTTTTCACTATACACACTGGTGCCCAGGAGAGCCTACTGGTGGCAACCAGAATTGTCTCCAGATAAATTATACCCGTAATTCAGAGCTTAATATTTAACATGAATACTTAATATGTGAATGATTTTAAATGAATTTACTAATTTCTGTTTTTGAACTTTGCAGCTTCCAAGTGTTGGGATGATCTGGAGTGTGGCGTACATCGGCCATCTGTCTGTGCCAAGAAAAAATCAAAAAATCAACACTCCTCGGCTGACACTGAAGCATGAAACTCCTATAAAAACACAAACTGATGTATAATAGTGTTTGTGTTATGCTTGCTCCTACTTCTTTCATTTTCTAGTTAC